TTTCTATATATTCTTGGATTAAATTTAGTATTTTGTTAAGAAATTTTTGTATGAGGGATATGTCTAATTTTTCATTTCTTGAAATATTCTTGTCAAAATTTGGTTTCTTGAACATACCTTGGTTGCATAGAAAAAGTTGGACTATGTATGTACCTTTTTTCTCTAGTTTCTGAAAGAGATTGTGTAACATTGGCATTATTTCTTATTTAAATATTTAAAAGATTTTACCAGTGAAACCACGTGGGCTTGTAGGTATTTTGTGTGTATTATTTAAAATTATAGAGTCAATTTCTTGAGCAAATATAGATTTTCTATTTTGTTTTATGTGAGTTTTGTCGTTTAGCTTTTCAAAGAATTTTTCCATTTCATTTAAAATGATAAATTCATTGATATGAAATTTTTAATGTCTGTTTTTGTGATACTGAGGATTGAATCCAGACTCTTTGCATTGAGCTACATCCCCAGCCCATTTTATTTTTTGGGACATGGTTTCTCTAAGTTCCTAAGTTGCCCAACCTGGGCCTGAACTTCAGAGTGCTGCGATTACAGGTGTGTGCCACCACGCCTGGCTATCTTACTCTTTTTGTGACATCAGTAGTAATGTCCCCTTTTTCCTTTCTGATAATATTTTTTATTTTTTTCTTAATCAGTTTTTCTAGGAAACTAATAATTTTATACTTCATAAAATCATTTCTTGGTTTTATTGGTTTTTCTTTATTGTATGACATCTTCTGTCTCAGAAATTTCAGATTATTTTTTTCTTTCCTTCCTTATACTGTCCTTTGGTTTAACTTGCTGTTTTTTTTTCTATCTTTTTGAGCTGTAGCCTTAGATAATTGATTTTCAGTTTTCTAATATTAATGTTTAGAGCCACAGTATAAATTTTTCTCTGGTTTAGCTTTGTTAAATATTTTGGTATGTTGTGATTTTAGTATTCAATTAAAATATTTTCTAATTGTCTTTGGATTTAGAAATCTATTGCTTGATTTTTATACACTTGGGGATTTTTATATTTTTCACGTGGTAACTGTACATGAGGCAGCTACTAATTGCATTGCTCTTATAAGTATCATTATTGTAACCAACTATCATTGATTGATTAAATTGGTTTAATTCACTTCTGGTGTTACATTTATTGCTGTGGCTAAAGAACGAGTAGCCATTTAAAGAATGTAGGGATTGCTGTCTGTCTGTCTGTCTGTCTATCCATCTCATCTCATCTCTTGACAGGGTCTCATTCTATAGTTCAGACTGGCATTGAACTTGCTTTGTAGCCCGGGCTGCTGCTGCAGAACTCACAATCCTCCTGTCTCAGCCTCCTGAGTGCTGGGATTACAGGCATGTGCCACCATGCTCAGCTGGGAATTCATTTTTTTGTTGTCAGTGCTGGCTTTTTAAAGACAGTTGTTCAAAAATACAGGGTTTGGATTTGAGGGTGATCTGGCTGTGACATCTGTCACCAATTGATCGCCACAGTTGATTCAGCTGATCTGGCTGGCTAGATGGTTGTCCCCTTCCCTCCTCACTGCTCCATGTGCATCCCTCCCGAAGTGCACTTGGTCAAAGGGGATAACAGACCACCCCTGATAGATCAAGACTGTTTCCTCCATCAGGAGTATAGGAGTAGCAGCACTACCTTGCAAGAATCTCCAAACAAGCTCTCAGAAATACAGGGCTCAAGAAAATGTGGGAATTCGAGGTTCTGAATCACATGTAACCAAAGAGTGTCTTCCTAGGTATCAAGGTTACACTTCCTTTTAGGGGTACTATCTCATAGGGTTTTTGAGGTATTTAATGAAGTAGCAAATTATGTGCTTAAATACCTGACTTGTAGAAAATGTTCAACTTTTTATTACATGAATTTGAGAATTTAGGAATATACCTGTTGCTCTTTGAAAGTTTTTCCATTTACCATTTTAAAATTGGTTGAGTTCTGGTACTAAATGTAAATTGAACAAATGAAGAAAATGATAATAAAAATAGGTAACATAACTGTGAAGTCTGATGGTGGCAGCTACTTAAAAATTCTGATGCATGGAAAACTCATAACTAACAATGTATCTCCTCAAAATAAGATATACACTGTTCCATACATCTGCATCTTTCAAATACATGTGATCTTCCTTTTTTAGCCTTACCTAATTTTTGTGCAGATATGATTTAACTTAATCTACTTGGCTTCAGTCTTGAAGCCTTCAGTACAATGTTCAATTTTTCAGTGGTTTTTTCCACTATGTAAATTGCAATGGCAATATATTAAGTTTTAAACAAATCTAAAGTAAGTTTTTTTCAGATATAGAGAAAAATAGGGCAATTTAAAACTTTTCTTGGGTTGTAAATGTTTCTTCCATTTTGGAAATTACTATTTGTCATTTCTTTGGCTTGGTGATTTAAAAAATTTTCTCATACTCTATATCTTTAAATTACTTTAGGGTAATTACTTTCATGTTTTTCTTTTCTAGGTTAACGGAACCTTCTGGATATTTAACAGATGGTCCAATTAACTATAAGTATAAAACTAAATGTACATGGCTAATTGAAGGCTAGTAAGTATACACTTTGAGTTGAATCAGTTTTATTCCATACTTATAGAGATGATCATTTTAATGCTAAGATATTAATAAATATAATAACTTTATATTTACATAGTGTATTTAATTGATTATTATTGGAAAATATTCATAATATAATTTTGTGGGGTTTCTAACTTCTAGACATCACATTTATATAAATTATAGTAACTCTTTAGCTTGAGGCAATAGCTTAATTTATATATTTTATTTTTGAATTATGTTATTGTGGCATTAAATAGAGTGGGTGGTTTTTTTTTGGGGGGGTACCGGGGATCAACTTCTGGAGCTTGCACTTGTGAGGCAGGCGGTGGCACCACTGAGTTAAATCCCCTGCCCCAGAGTAGGCATATTTTGGCTTTTTGAAAATACCTTGCTGTGGAATTTGAGAACTCTGTAATATTTCATGTCAATTTAAGCCATTGATTTATCTATTCAGCATTTTGCTTCTAAAGGTTAAATAGAACATTTTGTAGAAGAAAGAGTTAATGATCCAGTTAGGGTGTTTTTATAATTAGGATTTGAAATTGAATTTGCCTATTTAAATATATTATGTGTAAATGAATTGATGTGAATACTTTTGGGATCTAACTCGTGACCTTGCACTTTTGAGCCAGGCATGGTACCACTGAGCTTAATGCCCGGCCCAGTATTTTATAATTATTAAGTGTGCATTTGGAAAACTTTTTTGTTGTTATTTAAAAAATGTTTTAAATTTAAAGCTATTAATTCTCTGCTGTGTACCTATAGTCTGTTAATAGTATATCATATTAAGACCTGTTAATTAAATCTGAAGAACTTAGTGCCTCCACTTAAAGGTTCTGTAGAAATGATAATAATTGTTGCTTAAATGTTGTATTTTGAAATCAACTTTATTCAACTACATTTTGCTATGGTAGAATGCACCCATTTTTGTAAATAAGAAAATTTTAAAGAAGGTTTTAAATTATGGGGCCAGGGATTTAGCTCAGTGGTTTCGCTGCCTGCTGTGCAAGTGCAAGGACTCGAGTTCGATCCCCGGTACCAAAAAAAAAAAAAAAAATTATGCATATAAGCTGTGTAGCCTCTACCTTAATAAAGACATAAGAACATTTTCTGTTAACAAAATTTTTAGAAAATGATGATACATGCATATGGGCTGTTAATAGATTTTGAAAATTGCACTTCATTTTTTATAAGTTATATGTGATGGTTTATTAATCTAGTCTGGTGATTTAAGGATTTGTAGAAAAATTATATATAAAATAGATTTGTAATAAAACACTAAAATTTCTTCACACTGTGTTTTGTGTGTTATATAGTAATTTAAAATATGTGTTAATTTTTTTCAGTCCAAATGCAGTGTTAAGATTAAGATTCAATCATTTTGCTACAGAATGTAGCTGGGATCATATGTATGTTTATGATGGAGATTCAATATATGCACCTTTAATAGCTGTACTTAGGTGAGTATATTTATTTAATAAACTTATAGTCAGTTGTGAAAAGGTAAGTAACTGCATAATTTGTTAATTTGAATTGATCTATATTCAAATATTGTTTAGACATTAATGACTAAGTTTCAAAGATTATTATAATATGTTTGTTGTGTACTGTCAATTTAAGTATATATTCAATAATGTAGATACTGATTTGCATAGTATTATACTCTATTGGAACTATAAATTTCTTTATAAATATTCTGCATTCTCACTGTGTTGAATTTATTCTTTTAAAGTGGTTTGAATGTATTTTAAGAACTCTATATTTTGGTAGATTAGTGAGTTCTAACTGAGAAACAAAGGCTTTTTTTGTGGAACTGGGAATTAAACCCAGATGCATTCTCAGCGATCACTCTACTATTGAGCTACAGCTCAGTCCTAGAAAAAAATACACAAAAGTATGTCTTTTTATTTTAGTGAAATGATGAAATTTAAAATTCTACAAAATGGTTTAAGTTATGCTTTGTGTATTTCTTTAGTAAAGGAGGTACTTCTCCCAGTTCTCAAAATGTGTGAGTTTTGGTTGCTTTAAGGTATTTTATTGTTAATACTCAAATAGTCTACTAATTTTAAAATTATAGCATTTTAGCTATTTATAAACATTTTATATGTATGTATGTAGAGATTATTATAAAAGTTCTATGAGTAGGAGAAAAATATATTGGACATAGAAAAACATATGAAGACGTAGTATAGGTATCAACTCTAATCTCTTGATTTAAAAGACTGTATTTGTATTTCACTTTGCTAAGAATGCATCTTAACATGATTGTTAACCAGATACTGACTATATATTCTTTTACTTTTCTTATGTATGTAATGTATCTCTCACATCTTCTTATTGTTGAAAATTCACATATAATTAAAAGGGCTGGGGATTTAGCTCAGTGGTTCCACCGCCTGCTTTGCAGGCGCAAGGTCCTGAGTTCAATCCCCAGCACCAAAAAACCCCCAAAACCAAAAACCAAAAACCAAAAACCAAAGCAAAACAAAAAGGTTATTGTTCCCATAAAATTATTTATTTTAAATTTTCTTTTTTACTGTTTATGTGCAAATACTCTTATCAGGAGTGTGAGTTATCATTTTTTGGGGCAAATATGCAAGAATTTCTATTTCCAAATCACTATTTCTAAGTGAACTTGTAGCTTAAATACTTATCCTATGATATTGCTATTGCTGAAAATATTTTCAGAACTTCTTTTTTGAGTTGTTTGCACATTATAAAAAGGATAGTTCCAGGTAGTACTGTGTCTAAGGACAGTAAATACAAAATGGAGTAGAAGCTTGTGAATAATCATGTTGTAAGATAACTCATCATGACAACTAGATAAGATCCTGGATTCACACATTTATTTTTAGGAATTTAAACATAATTTTGTATCATTACTCATTTTATGACTCTATTAACTGACCATCATTTAGATGTGTACCTTTTCACTTATTTTTCTAGTAATCTTACGACTTTGTATTAATTAATACTGATCATTAACATTCTCACCAATTCTTTCCTGTTACTTAAAGAAATCTTTTATGGGGCCGGGGATTTAGTTCGGTGGTTTCCCCGCCTGCTGCGCAAGCACAGGGACCAGAGTTCGATCCCTGGTACCAAAAAAAGGAAATCCTTTATAATTATCAGGATGGGGTTAGTATGTGTCTGTGAAAATAGCAGTAGGAATTTTCATTAGAAAATGTTCCTGTTGTCCTATGAGAGATGGAAAACTCATGTATATTAAATATCCACTGATGCTAGGCATTGTGTTGGGCAATTTAACCCATTCCCGCTCGCTTGAACCACCCGTGGTACATGCGTGACTGTCCCATCAGGCAGTTTGAATCACCTGTGGTACAGGCATAACTGTCTTATCGGGTAGCATAGGATAGTCCCATTGGGTGGTACAAGCTACCTAATGGGACAGTCATGTATATTCAACCCCACCACGAACATATGAAATGTCATCTGATCCTCACAGAGATCTTGTGGGAATACTATCATCCCCATTTTACAATTGAGAAAATTGCAACTCAGAAATTATTTACTTCTAATAGGTGGTAGAGGCAAAATTAGAATTTCAATCTTAATCTCTTGATTTGAAAGCCTATTACTCTTTTAGCTTCATTTTGCTATGAATAAAATTCTAACTATGTTACACCAGTTGTATAAGTATTTATTGGTCAACAAACCTACTTTCTCTTTTTTCTTTCTTTTTTGTTTTTAATGGTATTAAGGATTGAACCCAGGGCATTTTGCATTCTATACAAGCACTCTTGGTGTGAGCTACATCCTCAAATATTTGATAACCTACTCAATTCAGAGACTATATAAGCCTGGAGGATATTGTAAGAAATAAGGCATAGGTCACTGGAATGAGTTCAAACATCAACTACCTGGAGTTGATTCTAACTTCCTAGAGTAAGACCTTCACAGATTGCCATTACTTCAGACACTAGTTACAAGTTTTGGAGATTTCTACCTTCACTTTGATCATCTGGTTACAAATTTGGGGAGGGGTCCCACTCTTCCCTAAACTTTAATAATTTGCTAGAATGACTCATGGCACTCAGTAAAGTGCTATACTTCTGACTATAGTTTTCTTTTTTTCTTTTTTTTTTTTTGGTACCAGGGATTGAACTCGGGTCCTTGTGCTTGCGGGGCAGGCGGCAGAACCACTGAGCTAAATCCCCGGCCCTTCTGACTATAGTTTTATTGTGAAGGTTAGACACTAGCCAATAAAGACAGGCATTTAAAAAAGACCTAGAAGGATTACAAATGCAAAACTTTGTTTCCTCAAGATGTGGTAACCACCCAGAGTATCAGTTTATATCACCAACCAGGAAGCTTACTTTAGTTTTAGTTTTTATTGAGGTTTCATTATATATACTTGATTGGTTAAATTATTGGTCATGAAGCATGAGGTTGAATGCAGATCTAGAAGCTCCTCAGCCTTTCTCCTCTCTTCAGAAGTCAGGCTGATACAGTGTGGTCCCGAACTTCTTAATCACATGGTTGGTCTTGCTAGTGTGGCTGTCCCCCATTTGAAAATGCTTTTTTATTAAATCTTAGATTAACTAGGAGCCAATTATCAGTCACCTCATTGGCATAACTTTTCACAGACACCTTATCACTGGGGGAATTCTAAGGATTGAAAGGCTACAGTCCAGGAACTAAGGACAAAGGATTCTTTCATACATAATAGTTATGCACAATAAGTACATGAAAACAGGCTTCTCACACATAGTAAGTATTATAATCAGGTTATGAAACAGGGTTATATCATTTCAGAGGAAGTAACTGATCCTTCATGGTGAATTTTATCATGAGTAGAAGAATGACAGGCAAAGTACAGGGCCAGACAGGATATTCTTGGTAGAGAAAACATGCATACAAAGGTATAGATGCTACCAGCCACTTAGATCTACATGCTCAGGTTCATTTGCTCGCTGCTGACCAAATCAAAGGAGGCCATTTATTTTGGTAACAAGTAAGGATGTATTCAAAGATAGATGTGAGGAGACAGAGGGGCCTCATTACCTGAATCATCACCTTCCTCTATATAGGTATGTTAGGGTATTTTATGGGCAAGGAACAGTGGGGAGGGATTACAGTGAGATGATAGACATGTGCAGACTTTTTCCATCCCTTCCCAGACTCAGACATCTCCTTTCTGTCCATGTGGAAATGAACCTGAACTTTGTCCTTCTAATGTCAGCATCGGCATATTCTGTCCATTCTTCTGAGTTGCGGAGAGGTAGGGGTGGCAGTTTATTATGCTTTAGGCCTGAGAAAATTTGGAGAAGCTGCTTATCTCTGAAGAAAAAAATCTGAAGGAAGACAATTCCATTTTGCCATGGCAGTTATACAGTGAGATTAAAGGCTATTGTATTTTAGGATAATAGTAGCTTTGAGTAACTTGATCATGGGACACGTGAAGGGACACGTGAAGGGACACAGAGAAGCCAGATTATCCAGTAAACAGCAATCAGTAACATCTACTCATTGATCATTTTGTGCTAGTATTGTGCAAGAGTTCTTTTTATTCATCATTTCATTTAATTCTCACAGTGACCTTTAGATAGATAGTATTAGTGCTTTTTTATAAATGGAAGATGAAGGCATACAAAGTTACTCTGAGAGGCCCCAAATTACCTGTCTGGGAAGTGGTAGAATCAGAGTATGATGAGTCCATGTTATATAATTCTAGACCTTTTCAGTCACTGTAATAGTGCTTCCACTACACAAAAGGAATTGAACTTTATCTTGTAGGAGTGTGGAGGATGGTCTGGAATGAAGAAAATTTTTTCTGTGTGCTGGACAATCATGCTTCATATTGCATTTGGAATAGTCATATGGAGCAGTAATTCGAGACCTCAAGAGAGTAGATGGGAACACTAGCAGTTCATTGTCAACTCAGTCCAGATTCTGTTATGATGATTCATGCCTCAGCTGAAGTATAATCCTTCAGAGGCCTTGACTGAAACTAGTTCACTTTCTTCCCCTCCTAGTTTTTGGAGTTCCAATTCAAAATGAGGATCCTGGATTCCCCTTTTTGTTTCCCTAGTTTTGTAAAACTGTTGTATTATCCAGTGTAGTTTTACAACATAGTGGTTTTTTTTTTAGTACTGGGGATCAAACTTGGGACCTTGCACTTGCGAGGCAGGTGGTGGAACCGCTGAGCTAAATCCCTGGCCCGTTGTAAAACTTTTGAAATCTGCTCTCCCAAAGCCCTCAAGTTTCTTAGCTCTTCCAGTCTCATGCAGTTTTGGAATAAGCATATGCTCATAAGAGAAGTTGCCTCATTGCCTATGCTAACCTTAGATATTAGCTCTTTAATAACTTTAAGATGATTGTTTTTTGTTTTTACATACAAACATATTATTTTACTACATGGCTTGTATTGCAATTTGGATTGGTCCAATTGGTATGTTATGTAATAAATGCAAAGCCTTTTTTGTTTATTGCTTCTAAAACATAAACAAATAAATCTGTTCTTTTTTTCTGTCTCAGAGGCTAGCTATATCTATTACAGAAACCTGGGAATATTATTTTTATCAATGTATTCATTTTGATGTAATCTCACTATCATGAAGCATCTATATGTACATGTAACTGAGTGATATTAACCCCACAAAGAATGGCTGCTATCAAGAAATCAACCAATAACAAATGCTGTCAGGGGTGTGGAGAGAAAGGAACCCTTCTCCATTGTTGGTGGGAGTGCAGACTGGTGCAACCACTGTGGAAATCAGTATGGAGATACCTCAAAGAACTAGGACTAGAGGTCCCATTTGACCCAGCTGTTCCCCTGCTGGGTATCTTCCCCCAAAGAATTAAAAGAATCATACCACAGCGATATATGTACACCTGTGTTTATAGTGGCACAGTTTGTAATAGCTAAAGCTTCAACCCAAGTGCCCATCAACTGGAAACTGGATAAAGAAAATGTGGTTTTTTAAAATAAAATGGAGTACTACTCAGCCATAAAGAACGAGAAACTAGAGTCATTTATAGCTAAATGGATTCATATCGAGGCCATACTCTTAAGTGAAATAAGTAAGATACACATGTGTAAATACCAAATAGTTTCTCTAGTGTGAGAAACTGAAAGTGTAAATAAGGATTAAAATGATTAAAATGAATAATTGATAATTTGAAATAGGAAAAGGTCCAAAGGGGTAGGGGTGGCGGGAGGGGAAGGGGAAAGGAAAGAAGGGAAAGGAAAAATCATGAGAAAAAAAAAAAGGAAACAGTTTATGTAAACAGGGAAGGGTGCACAGGGAATGGGGAAAAAATAAGAACCAAGATACATCATGTACAGGTACAAGCACCCAATGATAAATGTAAATGTATACCTAAAATGTACCAATAAATATATAAATAAAAAAATCTTTTTCACTTACAATCATAAAATAGTTGGTGTAATAATAATAACTAACACATTGAGTTGATTACTTTTTGTGTTTGAAAATAAATTATTTCACTATAATATATCATTTTTCAAGTATGATTTGAATGAGGGAATTCAATTCCTAGTGGTGCCTAAACATAAACTTGGTGTGAAGGAATTGAATATTTGAATTGTGTAATTTGTTTGTTAGCAGCTTCTTTTCTTTCTCCTATCACGTTTTTACAAATTTAGAGGGAGTAGTATGATATCACTAAGTGAAGATATGTATTTTTTTCTAAGAACAAATAGGTTAAAAAAGGAGAAGTACTAGTTGCCTATAATTTGTGCTTTTGTATATGTATAACTGACCCCCAACCCAAATTAATTTTTATGTGTGTGTGCAAATAGATCTAGGCGAACAATATTTTGTTTTGGAATAGTTATCAGTACAATTTATGTAAATACTCAACATTTTTAAAGAAGTATAAAAAGTATACATTTTAAAATTACCTTGAAGCACTTAGATTTAGTGTATTGGCAATGTACAGTTTTAACTAGAATTTCATTGTAATCATGTAGTTGGTGTGGAGCATTCCTTCTAGCTTCATTGGAATTTGCAATTATTGGGAAAAAGGTAAAGTTATAGATCACTTGTAAAAGTGGCATGGTAGCTGGGAGTGAAGCTTTATATATGATTTAAGTAAAAGACCACCCTGTAGTATTATGGCAAAATGGATAGCAGGATAAAAGGGAAAATTGGACATTGTAGTCCAAATGGTGGTAAAAGGAGGGTAACATCAGAGCAGATGTGTGTTGGCAGTAGTAGTAGATCTAATTGGGTAGAAATGGGTAATTATGGATTAATTTTACATTTAATCTTCTAGTTATCTGTTTTAATGTATATGTTTAATGATTCTGATAATTTTTTTTTACTAATTTTATGTGATTAATGCTCATATGTATATAATGGATCTACTCGGTGTTCAATTTTGCTCTCTTTTAGTGGTTTGATAGTCCCTGAAGTAAGGGGAAATGAAACTGTGCCTGAAGTTGTTACAACATCTGGTTATGCACTGTTACACTTTTTTAGTGATGCTGCATACAATCTAACTGGTTTCAACATTTTCTATTCGTAAGTATTTAAAAAAACCTATATTGTAATAGATTTATATACCTAGATGTAAAAGTTTACTGGTGGGTTTTAGAAAAACGTCTTATACAGTAATAGATTTTTGTAACTTGACTTAAAGAGTTTATTGTTTGTTTTTAGGGATATCTTATAAATTCAATATGTGTTAAATTCAAACATGTTAAATTCAAACATGTTAAATTTTGAATTATATAAGATCCCTTCCTAAGTGACCTAAAATCTTCAATACACCACAGAATGCTATCTAAGCCTTTGTTAAGGTAATTTCTAAGTCTTAAAATGTTATTTTAGTAAATTAAGTTTGGTTGGAAAATTTTTACAAAATTTAAAATGGTTTATTGGCAAATTATTAAGTAAACTGACACAAAGTAGTGTAGTTTTACTGATAGCAGTAGGTTTATGGAATTGTAGGTGCTTTTCAATTACCTTTCTTTGCTCTACAGTATTTTATTTGTAATTTGAAGAGGAGCATGGGAACTGAGCTTTGGTAGTCCTCTCTTTCTGGGACTGCCCTGGATGCTATATATACTTTATGTCATTTAATTCCCTTTAAGTCAGTTCTGTGAGTGAATATGTTTTCCATTTTATAATTAAAAGTTTAGAAAATTAAAAGCTTAGGAAGTAAAGAATATGACTATATATTGTCTCCTCTAAATTAAGAAAAAAATTTTCATGTCTGACACTTTCTATAAGAAATTTTTATATGTAGGAGACTAGAGGTGAAGTGAAGTAACCAGGGATACTTCCAGATACTTTCATAGGAATGGCCACAGAAGAACTCTACACATTCCTTTTTTCCTTTCTTCATGAAGTTAGAAATTAATAAGTAGAGAATTTTCAACAGATATAAAATAGTCTGAATATCTCTGAATCAGCAATTTGTTATAGGACTTCTTTATCCTATAATGTATCCAAATATGTATGGGAGGAGGAATAATATATAGGAATATAATCAATTGAAGAGCCTTTAAATAAAATGTGGTAAAGATCCCTTCTCTTTCAGAAGAGTGTATAGATGGTAGGTTCTTCAAAAATTATATAACTAAGTTGTATCTTTGCTTCTCATATGGTTTCAAGTATTCATAAATTTATTTTCTGTACAATATATATTCAAAACCTTTGTACTTATGTCTTTACAAATGTGCTTAGAACTGTACAGATCCTACAGCTGTTACATGTATAATCCTTGGATGTTCAGAGTCTTGGAAGCAAATTAAACTTACTGAACTAAAACTAATTGCAAATAAATACTAACTGAATTGCATAAGAGTAAAAGAGTACAGAGTAAAGGACTGTAGTGACATTGTAGTAATTGTATTAATAAGCACATAAGACAGTACACAAGTTATAGTTTACACTGTGTCAACCAATTTTTTTCCAATTGTCTCGCACTTGAATATATATGAATTATATTTTGCAGAATCAATTCTTGTCCTAATAATTGCTCTGGTCATGGGAAGTGTACAACTAGTATCTCTGTTCCAAGTCAAGTATATTGTGAATGTGATAAATATTGGAAGGGTGAAGCTTGTGATATTCCTTACTGTAAAGCCAATTGTGGCAGTCCGGATCATGGCTACTGTGACTTAACAGGAGAAAAACTGTGTGTCTGCAATGACAGTTGGCAAGGTAAGCAAGTAGTGTGTAATAGATTTTGAAACATTGATTCATGTATCTAATAATACAAATTTTACTTTCATTTGTTTTTACTTTGTACACTCATCACAAATGCTTGTTTTTATTTTTAGAATGTTCTTAATAACCTTCATCCTCACAAATAGGATGGTGATGGTTTTGTCTGCATGCTGTATTGTATTGAAGATTAAATGAAGTTTTATTTGAAAATTTGAAAATTGTAGTTGTGTGATCATTATGGTGTTCTGTAATTTTTTGGTGGAATGTCCAAAGATTTGATGACCTCCCTGGATTTAACATGTGATGCATTCAAATTTGACTTATAATGAGTAATGTAAATATTGTATTGTAGAAATAAATGCTTTTCTCACAAGGTAGTACATTATATTAAACTTACTCCTTAGGAAAGGCTGACCCCTTGTGGCTATTTTTAAAGGACCAGAGACTATTTCAGAAAGTATTTTGAAGGTAAATATTTATTAGCTGCCTATTGTAAAAGTAAGGTTCTTAGGAAATAATTCTAAACAATTTTTATAAATATCTATTATGAAAATTCACTTTAGATTATACTGAAGCATTCTGGTTTACTTAAGCATCTAGGCATAAAAATAATAAATTTTGTCATTATAGAATTAAGTGATAGGTATGGTTATTGATACACCTGTACAACCAGAGCCTACCTATTGCTATTCATATTTACATATTAAAAGGTTTTCTTTGTTCCAAAGTATTAATCCTGTTGATAGAGGGAACTTTGATTCACTAATTACATTGCCCAAAGGTACCATGAATACGACTTGTTAAAACACAATGTAGAAATACTAGCAATGCTTCCTAAATAAAAACCAAAGGAATGTGCTCTTCATGTAGTGTATTCATCACTCTTGGGATGACATTTAAGTGTTACTAATTCTGAATACTTTTCTTAGAGAAATTATTGTTAGGTTTTATATAAATTATGCTTATTTTAAGTCCAAGTTACATAGTTAAAGAATACTAGATATATCAGCCCCACAAAGTATCAATTATTTCTTTTAAATTGAATTTGATTGCTTATCATGATTATGAGAGACACAAATTTCTAAGTGTTCTTTAATTATGGGGATGTGTTTTATATGGCTGTTTTAATCATTTCTGACTTTTCTTCCCCCAAAATGTATCTTGAGATTTTTCTCTATTTCAGCCTTGAAAGTAAAATAACTTCCTTTTCTATAAGGAAAAGAGTACACCAATATTAATTTGAACTAAGGCCTGAGAAATAGAAATGTGTAGCTCATACATACAGCGTTTTTCAAACTGGTCTTCAACTCCTGTCTCATTTCAGTAGTCTTGGAAGCAAAAGGGTACAGTTGTATATGATTTCCTACAAACGCCTCTGTCCTTCTTCTGTTCTTTAGTCCCTTGGTCCTTTGAAATGCTCGCTTTTTCCAAGAGTCGTGTAATACAGACCCAGTTCAAAATGGGGAAGCCAAGACTTGGTCTGTTTCCTTTCGAAACAAAGCTATGATCTCAGTAGTCAAAATACACATATTTGAAATGGGAATAATGTGACAGTGCTTTATAAATGATAAAAGCATTCTACAGAATTCAGACCAATTTTATACTATTATTGAATCTTAATAACTAGGGAATTGACCTCTAGATAGGACTACTTGGAGGGGAGAAGGCTTGGTGGAATGCTCTTTTCAAGCCAGTGTATAGGCTGTTTACTTTGAACTTCAAACCCAGTACTGCTTCAGACTTAAGGAAGTAAAGGTAAAAGTAGGTAGTATAATCAAAATCATTAAAGGAAAATGATTTTTTATTTCTAATATATAGATTGCAAAAATTCAGTGAGGTAAAAAGGAGACTAGAGGGATTTGCTTCTAGGACAAATGGAAAATGATAAAAGAACTAGACAATGAGGGCTGCATAGACAATCCTTATGTGTCTCAACACCTGGTAGTTTTATATAATGTGTTATTTGGAATGTATACTTTAGGTTAAAATAATTTTAACTCCATTGTATTTTGTCTTTTGATGTTGGTTAACTTACTCTGTTTGGCTCTATGCCTAAATATTTATATTTTAAGACTGAACATCATCCTCTGGGAATTGGGGTTTTATTAACAGTACATGGAGGAAAAGCCTAATTGCATGTTAAATCTTAGATTTCCTTCCTGACATTTCCTTTGTACTTCTCTCACGTGGGTTTTGTGTGCCATGGTTTTCTTTAGTTTTTCTATATAACATCTTGTTTATGACTTCTGCTCAGGGCCGGGGATTGATTGATTGATTGATTTATTTATTTATTTATTTACTTTTTGGTACTGGAGATCGAACTCGGGTCCTTGCGCTTGCGCAGCAGGCGGCGGCTCAGTGGTTCTGGCGCCTGCCTCGCAGCGCAAGGACCCGAGTTCGATCCCTGGTACCGAGAAAAAAAAAAAAAAAGACTTCTGCCCAGCCATCACTGTATTTCCCCCCTAGCTTTCTTATCTAATTCTTTCTTAATAATTATCTGCTTTCATCTTTTTTACTGTTTGTGACACTTTTTCAAGTTATATAGGAGTATATTTTAAGGATAGATGGCACCATTAAAGCCACTCTCCACTCTTTTCCTGTGGAAAGAACTTTTTAAAACAGTGAAATAAGGAATATAAAAATGCTACATGTAACATTTTGAAAAGCACACAGGTTTCTTGTGTAATGTTTAATTTTTTTCATCATTAATACTTGGCAAAGATAGTGAACTACACAAATGAAGTAGATTACTAAAAGGATAGATGCTTGTATAGATTCATCTGCTTCTCTGACTTTTAAAAAAAGTAGACCTTGTTTTTGATAGCTCTTTTAGGTTCAAAGCAAAATTGAGCAGAAGGTGCAGTAACTTTTGCCCCTACACATGCAGAGCCTCCCTCATTATCAACATCTCCTACCAGAGTGGTGCATTTGTCAAAGTTGATGAACTGATATGAGTACATTATTATTATCCTAAGTTGTAGTTTACATTAGAGCTCACTTTTTTTTTATTTTAGAGCTCACTGTTGATGTTGTACATTCAGTGAGTTTGGACAAATACATGATGATATGTATCCATCATTATAGTATCATACAGAATAGTTTCTCTAAGCTAAAAATCTCTTGTGCTCTGTGTTTTTTTTTCTTTCTTGAACCCCTGGTTACCATTGATCTTTTTACTGTCTCCATAGTGTTACCTTTCTCCAAACGTTGTATATAGTCATGTACTGATTAACAATGGGGATATATTCTGAGAAATGTGTTGGTAGCCAGTTTTGTTGTATGAGCATCATAGTGTGTACTTTCATAGATTAAAACAGCTACAATGTTACTAGGTGATATAAAGGTACCATAATTGTATATGTGGTCAGTTGACAGAAAAGTCAATATGTGGTGCATGACCGTAGTTGGAATGGTAGTCTGTAGCTTTTTGTAACTAGGTTCTTTTACTCAGCAGTAAGTGCTTAAATTTCTTCCATGTCATTTTATAGCTTGATAACTAATTTCCTCTTAGAACTGGATAATACTCCATTGTATAGATATGCCACACTTCATTTATTCAGGTACTGAATAACCTCTTGGTTGCTTCTGGTATTTTTCATTTAATAAAATTTATTTGAGTAAGTCACCTGAAAGAAAAGGGCAACTTTAAAAAGCAGTGATCTCTCAAACAAGGACATGAATGAGGACTTTAAAAAGACATCAAAAACAAAATATAAATTGAATTTATATTCATATATAAAGAATACAGTAGAACAGTAGTTTTCAAAGTGAACTCCAAGATATGGTGTTCACCCACCAACTCCCTTAGAGTGGCTCCAGGTTTCTATCTTCCATGTAACTTTCTGAATCACTGGGGTATTTGGTTGCAATCATCAGGAGTAGTTCTGGCTTACTTGAGCAGAAAAGGAAGTTATTAGAAAGTATGGAGGAGACCACTATCACTCAACATTCATTCTTTCTTTCCTTTTGGAAATAGAATTCAGTGAGCTTTAGCACAGCACATGCCTTATGCTATATACCAAATCTGTCTGCCTTGCAGCTAGCCTGGCTGTGATACCAAGTTTAAGTCAGTAGTATATGATGGAAATGCTGTATGCAAATATTAAATCACTCAGATCTTTTCTACTGGCTGGCAAATGGCAACAACTATATAACCAATAGCACTGGCCCCTTCATCTCTAGAATGTTTCATGAGGGAGAAATTCATTTTTACCTTACTGCAGCAATTTATTTTTGGTGCTATTAACCTGTTCCTTAACTAATCCAAAAGGATATTGAGTAGCTTACAAGTGAGCTAGGAGGGCTGGAAAAAGGAAGTTACAAAGGCTAGATCCATAGCAAAGATGAAGCCCTAGAAAAGTTTGATTAAAATATTCCTGTCACTGCCACTTGACCCCAGAATACAAGCAATGGCATCTTTACAGTTGATACTGTGTACTGCAGACATGGATGGTAAGAATTCCAAATGGCTTCCACATTTTTGCATCACTTCTGAAGATTCAAAGTCTTGCTTAGTAGCAGCTGCTTGGCTAAAGCTACATTTCGTCCATACTTTGAGGGATAGAAATGTAGAATTTAACTTGTTTCTGAACAAAATTCACACAATAAGAATTTTTCTTAGGAAAGAAGTTTAAATGATTAGGATCCCTGAACAAGTAAAAAAAATCAAAATAAATTAATTTAACAGTATGGATAGTTGCCATAACTGACAAGGAATGGGCTAGTTTTCTCTTGTTTACTCCAAAAAACATTGCAATGTGGAATAGATACTGGGAATAGACAGATAAATAGGATAACAAGCAGGCTTCAAGGATATGATTTCTATCCTAATTCATTACAACAAAAATTTTTCCTGTTATGTAGAGATGCAATACAGTTTACCATCTTTTATATATAAGACCATTGCTTAACCATTATCAAATTGTCCCTGTTCCTGTTCAGTTCTAGTCTTTAATCTTTGTAATGTTTTTAATCCTCTTAAACAGTTTTTGTGC